ATCAGGGTGGCAGACTCCATGGGTCATGAAATGCATAATCTTTTTATCCCAGAAAAGGAAAATTTCTATAAGTTGTATTATTTACCAAAAGAATAATGTCAAATTTGAGTTCCTGCAGAACCAATGATCATTCAAGCAGTATTTAATGCCTTCTTTTCTGGGAAAGACAGATGTACAGAAACTTTAGTAATTACCAAATGTCAAAGTAATATTGAACAGAATAAACATTTGCCTAAATTAAGGTTCTCTTGAGGATCAGTTACATATAACAAGAACAACTGACAAATCAAGTATGATGAGAGGTGGGATTTATTTCTTTGTCTCCTGATAAATTATATGGGGAATGAATAACTCCTGTTGTGATTATAAGAACATCTAGGTCATGTCTGCTTAAAGATCTGTGGGATAATAATAATATCCTAACCTTCTGCCGTGCTTGGCATTCTCAAAAGCACTTTATAAACATTAATTAGGTCTTCAATAAGCTGAGACTGTCTTGTTGGTTTTATCCTGTTATAGCATCACTGAGAGTCTGCAATCTTTCTAGCGTTTAAATATTTATTTACTTATTGCTTTTAAAGTGTATTTACTCCATTGACAATGCTTTAAAATTATAATCAGCGTTAGAGAAGTGTTCACAGTTCTACTTTTGCAACTAAGAAACAAGCCAGAGTAACAACAGTGCTTCTCTTTGCCCGAGTGAACACAGTCTGTTGGTCTGGGAAACTGTTTTCTTACTTACCTTCATCCACTTCAAACATGCCCTTCCCATCCTTTAAAACTGCATGTGTTTTTCTCATCCTGTAACTACACAGTGCCTACCAGGGTGCTTTGCATGTGGTGGATTTTCAAAAAATGTTTGCTAGATTGAATTAAACCAAAGCTCAGCCCGCATATGTGGCAGCCATGTGGAATCCTACCACAACTATCTGTGACCACTCTCATTACATTTTGGAAACTCTGATTCATTTGCTGATATCACTTCTGTTTTTCTTTTGTCTGATTCTCAGTGGACTGAGAATAAAAGGTGAAAGAAAGAAATAAATGTAAACTTGACATTCTTCTAAGTTTCAAAAGCAACTACACAAACATCCTTTACATTATCAACACTTAGTGAATACCTAATGGGCAGGTATGCTGTGTGAATTGCTGGGAATACAAAGATAAATAGGGTTGCAAGGACAGAACAATTTTTGATTTTGGATATTGAACCGACTCCATTTAAATGTGCTATACTGGGGCTTCCCTGGTGGTGCAGTGTTTAAGAATCCACCTGCCAATGCAGGGGACATGGGTTTTGAGCCCTGGTCTGGGAAGATCCCACATGCCACAGAGCAACTAAGCCTGGGTGCCACAACTACTGAGCCTGCACTCTAGAGCCCGTGAGCCACAACTACTGAGCCTGCGTGTCACAACTGCTGAAGCTCTTGCGCCTACAGCCTGTGCTCTGCAACAAGGGAAGCCACCACAATGAGAAGCCCGTGCACCGCAATGAAGAGTAGCCCCCGCTCGCTGCAACTATAGAAAGCCCGTGCGCAGCAGTGAAGACCCAATGCAGTCAAAATCAAATAAATAAACAAACAAACAAATAAATAAATGTGCTATACTTTATATGTTTGTATTTTTAGTTGTAGTAAATTAAAATTCTTTGTGTGGAGGGTGTGTGGGTGTGTGCTATTTTAATGCAGCCTGGAGATAACCTAGTGTTTACACAGCAAGGGTGTATTACCCTTCTATTCACCCATTTCCTCTTCCCTTCTGCAAAAAAATTCTAGGATTGCTTGCTGAGAGAAAAGAGGAAGACAATGGAAAGAAAGAGATAGGATATTTTCCTTTAGTTATAATCACGTCTAACTTTTGGCAACTTTAGTGTAAATCAAAATCGAAACCCCTGTGGATTTCAGACCCTGTAAGTTTTCTCTTATGCCTGTTTGAATGCTGCAAATTCAAGACTGAGTTGATGATTCTCCTGAAATGGTGTCATGATAGACTTACACACTGCATCTCAGTTCTGTGGTTCAGGGCTCTGGATCCCTAGAAATTATGTTGAGATTCTTCAAACGACGAATATGATTCTATATGTAAGAACAGAGTACATTCTCTCTTGGAATTCTTGTAGTTATAAAGATCTAAGCAGGCAATAACAGTGAGCAGGCCTAGAGAGCCGTAAACCATTTGCAGAAATATTTGATGGTTACAAATTAAACTAGACAGCATTAAATAAAATATGTTCTATCCTCCTACATTCTTAGATATATTTTTGTAAAACAAAATAAAAAATATGATTGGATGAGTAGTAAAATTTATAAATTATAAATGTAAATATTTAGTATAATATAAATATCCCCAAATTTTATTTTCTTGCCTTCATTTCAGCAAATTCACTAAATATGTTTTTATAATGGAAATTCTTACAAAACTGGAGCTCTACTGACAGTATTAATCTAAAATATCAATTAAAAATAAAATTTAATTATAATTAAAGTGTATACAACTTGAGTGTTTTCATCAAAATATGAACATTAAATAAATGTAAAAATTTTAATGAATTATTTTCATACTTTAAAATTAGATATTCAAAAGTAGCTATTAAAATTAAAGGCAAATACAAACTATAATTAATTAAATACAATTTAAAAAAAGCTGAAAATGCTGATTTAATTTTTTGATGTTTCATAAACCATATTACACATTTTTTATAAAGATTAAATTATTCATGATTGCAGCATTTAATGTTCATATTTTAATTGCCAATCCAAAGCATCAGCACCATGCTTTATGCATGATGTATTTAAAGTTTCACATATACATATTTAGAGTAATGTAAGTTGTTTAATATTGCAAAATATTCCTCAGCTATCAAATGCAACTTCTTTGTTAGGAATTCTGGAACCATGAATTGGAACATGAAAAAAAGCCAAGAAATGGTCATTCAGCTTTTCTAAGACAAAATTCACTGGGAAAGAAACCTATTGAGCTCATATTATCTGAGAGGACTTGACATGTTCGTTAATTTATTTTTCCCTTTCCTAAATATTTCTGTCACTCAAATCCTCCTTGCATTTCTAAGTAGGGTTTTTCTCCAAGAGTGAGAATTTTAGCCCATTAAAGTGAATCAAGGAAAAATTAGGAGCGTCCAGCTGAAGTTCTAATAACTTCACACAAACTTAATAAACCATTCACTCGCAACATTAGATGGTGCCAGGATCTGCAAAGATTGTGATTTATTCTCTAACGAGAAGGTAACACTGTACAGTTTAGGGATGTAGACAACAGGCCAGATTGCCCAGGACTCTTCTTCTATAGCACATGATGTAATCATTTGTTCTCAGCTAAGGCCCTTCTGGTGTCAGAAACCTTCTAAGCCTCAGTTTCTTCATCTGCTAAAGGGATAATAATTTCTTGTTCGTAGAACCACTATGAAAATTAAATTACATAGCCTGGCACACAGTAGGTTATCGAAAAATAGTAGTTATTAGTATTGACTGGCAAAGAATTATGGGGACTGGCTGTACTGCATTAGTCATCAATCTAATGATTATGTACTGCTCTTCCTATATGCCAGGTGGCTGGGCAGAGACGCAGGATTCGAAGGCTGCCACTTTGCACTAGCTGTATAACATTTTTGCGGACATGTACCATGGAGATATGAAAGTGCAGGGCCAGCACAGCTAACAGCAGAGCGAACTTGGCTCTGTGGGGAAAGTGGGGAAAGGCTCCACAAAGAAGACAGTACACAAGCTGGCAGGATAAGCAAGAGTTTCCCAGTGAAGAATGGGAAGGGCACTGGGGGCAGAGGATTGCAAAGACTTGGGAGTTATGAAAGCATTTCCACATTCAAGAAAAGCAAAAAGTTGGAGAGAGGCAGAGTAACCATGTCAGGCTCCTGGTTAAATTTAACTGACAAGACCCAACAGATTTGTTTGTAGCTAGACCTGAGGTGCCATGTTAATCATTCTACAGTGTGGCTCTAATTGGACTCAAGGAAAATTCCAGTTCTCTGAGATGTGCTACTTTTGAGGTGTTGGCTTACGAAAGGTTTGATCAATGCCCCTCAGTACAATAATGTTTGTTTGTTACTACACAGCATTTTCTTAAAATATACCAAAATTGGGGGCAGAAGGGAAACACTTACTTTGGACCTCAGATGCGTGATTTCCAGTTCTTCATTCCCCTATAATTTCTGTCATGGGTTGCCCTTTTCACTAGGAGCACCCAGGGACACATTCTAAAAATTGATGTAACCAAAATATGCAGGCTTCTTAGTTAATAACAAAACAGTGCTCAATTCCAGAGATGGAAAGGGAAGACGACACAAAATTTCTCTGCAGAAAATATACCCTCAAATCTTGTCAAGCAATGTGCAAACCAGCCAAAGTATTTGATCTGAAACTTGTGAAGGTAACATCATTGCTAAAGCATCCGAAAGAATTAGACTGAGAAGGAAAAGACCTCGCAGCTGCAGGCAAATACCCTGGGATGGGCAGACCCTGACAAGGTGGACGACCACTGCTAAGGACACTTCCAATGTCTGTAGCGACTCTCCCAGGGAAAGTAACAGCCCTGCCTCTCCTCCAGGGGAAATTCTCCAAGTACACTGGTTACTTTCAACACAATCTCACTGATGGGAAGTGGAGGAGGCACAGGGTGTCCATAGTGGTGCAGGTGGGAATCAAAATTAGTCTCCAACAGGGGACAAGCCTTTGAACGGCACAGAAAATTAAATCCGTCCTGGAGTGAGCCAATTGTATTATACCGAACACTACTGACACCTCTTATAAACTATGGATTCATCTACTATGTAGTTTTAATAGCGACTCAATTTCACGAGAAGACATTTTTTATTTATGTTCAGTTTTCTTCTCTAACTGTACTGTCTCATTATAATTTTCAATTCACAGCCATTTAGGTAGATTCTGCGGAGAGCCTAAATTAGAAAACAGCTCTTTAGTAGATTTTTTTTTTAAATAAAAGGAAATCATTTGTTTTAGTCCACTTACCATTCCATGATTCAGCCACCCTGGGATAAAATTATCAAGCAACTTCGGGTAAATCATCTCTCTGTCATAGGCATAAATGATCCAGAACACTGCTACAACGAACTGGAAGGGAAAAAGAGATCCTTTATTTCAAAGGCACCAACTGTCCACAGAATACAATTTGTTGGTTATCTATTGTTCAAAGAACCCAACAAAACTATAATTTATAATGAAAGATAAATCAGTAAGCCAGCTAATAACTGCAAAGATTGTTCTAACTTCATCCCATTAGTGGTAACTGTTGGGGTCCCTCCTCTTTCCTTGATCTCCCAACTGTGTTCTCTCAGGCGAAGGGCTCTGTTTGTGAGGGAGAGAGAGATGGCCTCTCTGACATCTGGAACAGCTCCCTTCCAGGGCTAAGTGTGTTGGTTTGATTCCTCTCAAGAGGGTTTAAAAGTTCATTGGTGGTTTTTCGGATCCCATTCCCCACTGTACAGCGTTAGAACACATTCAAGAAGCTGTAGTGTATTTTCCTTGAACCCATCATGTGGTTTAAATTAATCTTCACGTTCTCAAGTTTCTATTTCATCACTCACAGCATTGAAATCACTATTATAGAATGTCCCAAAGTCACAATTCCAGCAAATGTATTAATTTATATAGCCTAAGCGGGAGCTTTAGCGACACTGAGAAGCAGAGTGTACAAACAGTTAAGGAAGATTCCTAATTTATGAATAACTCATAAATTCATCTGGATTCCAGAGGTTTATTTGGACCCATCAACAACATCATCAAAAAATGCGAGGAGAGTACTCAATTTATTATCTTATCTTTCCTCAAACTAATGGTGAGAGAAGCAGCTCAGATAAAATAAAGAAATGAATGGCCCAAGGACTTAACCTGCACCATAGAATTTTTTTTAAAAAAATGAATGCTTTTGTAAATAGTCTATAAATGTAGCATGTAGAAAAGGGAATGAACCATCCCAGAGGGAGGTCTCATAGTCTCTTCAGAGTTATGTGTCAAAATAATAAATACTACGGAATGATAAAATGTGGCATGAATGTTAAACAGAAACAATTTTATCTCATTTCTTGTAAGTCATCCATGCCCTGACATTTTATTAATAATATATATTTTATTGCCACTTTTTATAAAACTGGTGTTTATAGCTCAAGGCTAGTAATCAGAAGGATTCCAAAGTTCTTTTAGAAGTACGTCAGTTATCACACGGATAGTCTTAGCCCGAAAAAATATTCACCCTTAAAACCCAGGATGTTATGAACATTCACTGATTCATAAAACACATTGAATGATAATTACAATAGGCAACTGTAGATAACACACGTAGTTTTAATACCAGATTAGGGTCCCCAGTTATTTATCCTGCTTTGGGGGCAACTATTTTCACTCAGTGGATAAATGCACAAGAGGAAAAAAGAAAAAAACATCTATTATTAGCTTAAGGTTAACTATCGTCAGGATCTTTCCAAGTACAACAAATAATTTTTGAATTATCCACAATTTGGGTTTGTTCATTCCACTACTAACTTCACGTGTATTGAATATCAGTGTTCCCTGCCCTCAGACCCGGGTGGGTGGGCTCCATGCTTTACAGTCTTTTTACGCAAAGTGTGGTCCCATGGGTCAGCAGCACCCACGCCACCTGAGAGCTTTTTAGATGTGCAGAATGCTAGGTCCCAGCCTGACATGTTCTGATCCTGTATTTTAATAAGATCCTGAGGTCATTCCTATGCACATAAACGTTTGAGATGTCCTGCTTTGGAAGGCTCTGCTCCAGCCACCTGGAACCTCCTCCCTCGCCATGGAGTGAGGCAATCCCAGGTCCAAGTGGCTGGTCTACCGAGAGCCTGCACCCCCTCCCCTTCTAAACCACACCCTGGGAAACCATGACCCTGGAATTTCCTGCCTAAGTAGACACAAGTATGCCTCAGGGCCTGTGTGGGTCTCCTTCTGGGGTCTGTGTTGAGGAAAATCTCTCCTATTCTTAATTTATGTATATAATGAATGAGTGCTGAATTTTTTCAGATAGCTTTGCTGCATATCTTCAGGTGACCATATATTTTTTTCTCCTTTATTCTGTTAATATGATGAATGACAGCAATTGATTTTTAATGTTAAACCAACCTCTAATTCCTGGTCATTATGATGATTTTTTTAATTTAATTATTTTATTTAATTTAAAAATTTTTAATTTTATAATATTTTATATATTATTGGATTCGACTTGCTGATATTTTAAGGAATTTTTTCCATCTTTACTCATAAAGTGTATCAACGTCTAGTTAGTTTTTTTTTTCTCATAACGTCATTTTCTAATATTGGTTACAGGATAAAGCTGGCCTCAAAAAATAAAGTGGGAAGTGTTCTCTCCTCTATTTTGTGAAGGACTTTGTGCAAGGTTGGTATTATTTCTTCCTTACCTATTTGATATACTTCTCCAGTGGCATCATCTGGACTTACAAGTTTTCTTGTGAGAAGATTTAATTGTGAATTCAATTTCTTTAATAGATATAGAGGTTTCAGGTTTTCTATTTTTTCTCGAGTTACTTTTAGTCATTTTTGCCTTTTATAGATTTTCTCCATTTCATCTAAATTTTTGAGTTTATAAAGTTGTTCTTAATATTCTGCTATGGAAATCAGCAAATGCTACAAATCAGGTAGTTTATCCTTAGAGAGCTGGTTGTTAAAGTTTGCCAGCACATCACTCTGGAGAGCAACTTTCTTTCACCAGGAATGATCATTCATGGTATCCCTACCACATATAAAGCATTGTGGGGTCGATACTTAATAGTGCAATTTGGCCAATCCTTTGACCCCTACCATGGATTGACGGAATTATATGGGTTATTAAAAGCAAAGTGACTTTCAAGAAAGTGTTAGTCACCTTTCTCAGTGTTAACACTAGAAGATCAAGAGGTACAGCTAACTGAGTAATCAGCCTTCTAAACAATTCTTGAGATAAAACACTGCACAGATGGTAGCTTCTTGGCTTCCTGCACTGACATCCTCTTGATGGCATGGTCATCAGCAAACCCAAAATAAGTTTGAACTCTACTACCAGGGCATGAATATGAACAAAAATAGGTTCTCTTGGACAGGCTAAGTGATACTGAAACGCCCTCCTGTTGTGAAGAAGCTTCTTCTCTGGCCAGGACTGGTAGCCAGCTGTTCCTCAGCACACACCTGCTGCTTCTGTGCTGCCAGGACCAGAACACTGTACTTGAACTGAGAGTGGGAGAAGCACAGTCACTTCCGAGTTTTTCAAGCTTCCCAGACAAAACACCTGCGTTACAGTGGTTATTGAGGCCTCATATGAACCCCCCGGAAGGATTAGAAATAAACACAAAAGAAAACTGGATTCATACTTTGTCTCTTTTTGTAAGGAGTCTCTCATATGGAGTCCAGTAGAAGCTAAAGCTAATCAGCTTTGGTTTAATTCTAAGAAAAAGCTTTACTGATCAGTGGGAAATTCCTTGGAGTTTAGTAACACCAATTAGAATGCAAAGGATGTCACAGAGACATTTACCCTGAAGGAGGCTAAAAAGTCACTTATCTGTAGATTGGTCTATGAAGGCCATTTAGCGTGATCTCAAACATCCACTGTTGAAGGAGGGAAGGAGGACCTAAATGAATGCATCTTTAAGTTTTCAGCTTCAACATGACTTGAGTTTATGGAATTGCTTTCCCTTTTAAAACAAATCTATTAGTACTCAGACTTTACCAATTACTGATTGGAAAACATTTAAATACTCTTTTGGGCTCTACTCCTTTCCTTCTAGATTTCCTTTTCATGATTTTCTTTCCCATTGATTCTTTCCAAGGTCATACTGTTCCTGAGAAGTAACATTTAGACATGTTTCCAGTTGTGATTTCTCTTTCCAAATGCACAAAGCATGAGAGTAAGTTGTGTGCTCTGGATGCTAGCTGGCTTTGTCTCTGATGGCCTCCACGCAGACAGTGAATGCCTCATTTTGACACGGCCCTTGTCTTCCCACTTTGCACATCTAGGAGATCCTGAGTCCGCAGGTGCTCTCCTTCTGGCTGACTTCCCTCAGCCATACCGTTAACTTCAGAAATGCACAGGGAAGCATAGGGTACTCTGAAATGTTATAGTATCTTTTGTTCCAGAGTACAATTTTTTTCTAGTACTCATTCCTAGAAGTGTGACAAAGAATTCCTCTACTGTAATGATGAGGTTGTGAGTTACATTATATTTTTTTATGCTGTACATTCTACTCAAATTACTTTAAAACCAGAATCTCCATTTAGAGAGTTTCTAAAGCACATGTTGATGTTATACCTTTCTCATGGCTTTCATCTTTTTGGTAGAATTTATAATTTCTCCATATTTACCCACACTTAGGTCCTTAATTATCTTTTCTGACTGAGTAATTATGTGAGAATAAAAACCCAACTCCTACAGGAGCCCGCATGATTTGATGCCTGCTTGTATTTCCAGCCTTCACTTGTACCGTATTCTTTCTTGCTCCCTAAGCTCCAATTGGCAATTTGATTGTTCCTAAAACTCATCATATGCTTTCCTGCCTCAGAACCACAGCATTTTCCACTCTATGCCAGGAATGTCCTTCCCTCATTTTCATGTGGCTGGATCCTCTGTTCCTTCAGGTCTACTTTAGACAGCATGGAAGCCTCACCACTGTTCCATTATTTTCTATCAGAAACCCTGATAGAAAATAGGCTTTTTCTTGTTGCTCAATTGTTCACTGTCTGGTTCTTTTATGAGAAAGTGAGGTCTCAGGAAGTAGGGACTTCTCTGTCTTGTTTACTGCTGTTTCCCCACTAAATGGCATATAACATGTTTATGGTAAAAATTTGATGAATAAATGAATAAAGGTGCATTGCTGTTCCTTGTATGTGTCAGACCCCACATGTCCCAGAGAAGCAAGTACCTCTTTACTTCTTCAATTTTCTTCCCATTGACCTAAGATTTCTCTTTTATGTTGTCCACATTTTTTGAACTCCTGTCTGTGAGGACATAAGCCTTTCCTTCCAAGGTTATTCTTTTAGCTCATCCCTTCTCAGATCTTTTACCTGTTAGCTCTTCTTTTACCTGTTTAAGTCTTCTATCATCTTAAAAT